TTGTGTGTATGGTGTGCGAGGTGTGTGTTGTACATGTATCTGTGTGGCTGTGTGTGGCTGTGTGGGTATGTGGCTGTGTGTGGCTATGTTTGGCTGTGTGTGGGCATGTGGCTGTGTGTGTGTGCGTGTGGCTGTGTGGGTGTGTGGGTGTGGCTGTGCGGGCATGTGGGTGTGTGGCTGTGCGGGCGTGTGGCTGTGTGTGGGTGTGGGGCTGTGTGGGCGTGTGGGTGTGTGGCTGTGCGGGCATGTGGGTGTGTGGCTATGTGTGGGCGTGTGGCTGTGTGTGGCTGTGCGGGCGTGTGGCTGTGTGTGGGCATGTGGCTGTGTGGGCGTGTGGGGGTGTGTGGCTGTGTGTGGGCATGTGGCTGTGTGGGGGGCTGTGCGGGCGTGTGGCTGTGTGCGGGCGTGCGGGCATCTGGCTGTGTGTGTGTGGGGGGGTGTGTGGCTGTGTGTGGGCTTGTGGCTATGTGGGTGTGTGGGGCTGTGTGTGGCTCTGTGGCTGTGTGTGGCTGTGTGGGCGTGTGGCTGTGTGTGGGTGTGGGGCTGTGTGTGGCTGTGTGGGCGTGTGTGGCTGTGTAGCTGTGTGGGCATGTGGCTGTGTGTGGGTTTGTGGCTGTGCGGGCGTGTGGTGGGCGTGTGGCTATGTGGGTGGCTATGTGGGTGTGTGGGGCGTGTGGCTGTGTGTGGGCGTATGGCTCTGCGGGCGTGTGGCTGTGTGTGGGTGTGGCTGTGTGTGGGCGTGTGGGTGTGGGGCTGTGTGTGGGCGTGTGTGGCTGTGTGTGGGCGTGTGTGGCTGTGTGTGGGTTTGTGGCTGTGCGGGCGTGTGGTGGGCATGTGGCTGTGTGTGGGCGTGTGGCTGTGTGGGCATGTGGCGCGCAACCCTTATCTGTGCCTCATGCCCAGGCTCTGTCTCCCCAGAGGACGTCCAGCCCGTCTGCCTCCCGGCACTGGGGCAGCCCCTCCTGGACGGCAAGGTCTGCACTGTGACCGGCTGGGGCAACACCCAGTACTACGGTGAGTGTGCGACTGCCCCTCCCCCCGCCATGGGACACAGCCCCACCCCTAGACATGGCCCCGCCCAAGGACACAGGACAAGGCCACACCCCTCCCTGTGGGAGGCCAGGAGGAGGGGTCCCCATCAGGGTCACACAGCTGGGGGTCTGGGGATGGAGGAAGATGGGCCATTCAGTGACAGAGACCTGTGTTAGAGGCTCCGCTAGAGTTGGGAACTTTCTAATTCCTGGTAACCAGACCCTCAAGGCCCCACCCCACTCCACCTCTTCCCAGGCCCGCCCTCATCGCACCTTCTTCCCCTCCCCCCTCCCCCGGTCGCTCACTGGATCCTCTCAAGGGGGCTGGGGTGTGTGTGCGGGGGTGGGTGCTCCAGCTGGGGGTGCAGGCTCTGGGGTGGGGCTGGGGACGGGGGGCTGGGGCAGGGGGTTGGGGTGTGGGAGGGGGTGAGGGCTCCAGCTGGGGGTGCAGGCTCTGGGGTGGGGCTGGGGCAGGAGATTGGGGTGCGGGAGGGGGTGAGGGCTCCAGCTGGGGGTGCACGCTCTGGGGTGGGGCTGGGGACGGGGGGCTGGGGCAGGGGGTTGGGGTGCGGGTGAGGTGCAGCAAAGCTAAGACAGGCTCCCTGCCTGCCCTGGCTCCGCACTGCTCCCGGAAGCGGCCGGCATGTCCCTGCAGCCCCTAGGCAGAGGGCCAGGAAGCTCTGCACGCTACGTGCCCACAGGCATTGCCCCCGCAACTCCCCTTGGCCGTGGTTCCCAGACAATGGGAGCTGCAGGGGTAATGCCTGCGGGTGCTGGCAGGGTGCGGAGCTTCCCTGATCGCCCCTGGGCC